TATAAAATTAATGTATTATTTACTTCACTATCAGCAACAAGGACTATATTACTAAAAATAGATTTGTTGACTATTCACCTAAATTTTTCGCAACAAGGACTATGTTGCATTATTAGCAACATAGTTTTTGTTGCTAAAAAGTGGGGTACATGCACTCCCCCTAACTTTTAGCAACATAAGCCATTTTGCTGAAAATATGCGTTCAGCAACATGGCCTATGTTGCTGAAAATGGGGTTAAATTCATCTTAACCCTTCGGTTGCTAGTTTACCACTTATTTTTAGCAACATGGTTTATGTTGTTGAAAATTTTTTTACCACTTATCAGTAATTTTTGTCAGATTTCGGTGAACAACTTTACCAACATTGAGCATGTTGCTAAAACTATATTTTCAACAATGTGCATTATGTTGCTGATGTATTAGCAACAATTTGCTCATTGGTGATGTATTGCCAGCAAGGCTTCTCCAACAAGGCTTTTACTAACAAAAACCATGTTGCTGAAGGATTTTCAACAACATGGGAGGCACTTTCAGCAACATGCTTCCATGTTGCTGAAGCTAGAAATTTTAATAGTGTTTGTTTGAACCAATCCATCGAGTTTAGTGGTTTGTCTTTAAACCTAAATACTTGAGTTTTAAAGTTCTACTCACATCAATAACTTGAAAAATTCTCCCATTTCTCTAATTTTTTCGTATTCAAAAAAAAAAAAACAAAAAACAAAAAACAAAAGCAAAAAATCAAAAACAAAACAAGACACGAAACCTACCTATCATTAGATGTTCCCTAAAAGGTAAGCGAAACACAGCCTGAGGTGCAATCACAACTAAAATTCTAGTACCCAAACTTTGAATCTCATTTACAATCCTAAAACTTATGTAACGCGGTGGGTTATAAAAAATATGGTTAAAACTTCTCAAGTATCACAGAACCTGTCATATCCAAACAAAAGGAGTAATGTTTGATATTAAATTAGTTTTTGATTAATAAGATTGTAAGAGCATTTTGATTCTAATTAATCTAAAAATTTCTAGACCAAGTTAGAAAATTTAGCCGAAAAGAGTTAAAGGCGAAGATCTTTTAATTTATGGCAAATATTCATGAACTTTTTTCACAATATTTTGGCTTTCTTGGTCAAGCTATGACTATTCAAAAGGATATAATGTCGATTATGTGCATCACAAGAGATGAATGCGTCAACTTCGAAAATGATATTTGGGAAAGATTGAGTACTTAAAATTACCTGTACTTTAGAATCGGATCTTTGAATCCAAATAGTTTTCTTTTTTTAATTTTAAAATGTATGAATTATTTGATCGAGATTTTGAATTTTATTAACACTTTCAACAAATCCCTCCTCCCTAAATTGTAAATTATTTAAAAAAAAAATTATGTGCACTTCAAGTGAAAAATATATATATATATATATATATATATACATGAGAGTACAAGCTATGATAATATTTGTGTATTGTATATCTTGTTCTTATAAGATATTGGAGTTGACTAATGAGACTTTTCAAGAATCAAAAGCAATGGCTAGCTTATAATGCAAAACATCATGTAGCTGTTTCAGTTGGAAGTATTTTGATTTATTTGAATTTTCTGTTAAAAATTTGAACATCCTAAAAGTTGTAATCATTAAAGCCAATAGTTATTGAATTGCCTTAATTAGTAATTTATTATATATACCATATTTATGAAGAGAGGCATTATGGTTTAATGGTTGTTCTTCTAAAGTTGTTTCTATTGTGATATTACAACATTATAAGAAACAATTCATTTTGTCTAAACTATAAAAAAAAAAAAAAAATCATTTTATCAGTAGAATTTTGAAAAAAAAAAAAGAAAATTAAAAAAAAAAAAAGTGAATTTCAAACTTAAATAATGTAATAATAATATTATAAAATTAATGTATTATTT